ACAACAAGATATTTTCTTCCTCCTAGTAGAGGAGTTTAGTTGCCAAATGTGTTCTCTTGACAAAACTCGAATTATATTAGTCTACTACCTTTCATTAATTATAGTAGTCTACTAGCTTTTTCCAAAAATACGTGAGTTTGTAAGAAGGCCCTCCCGTTGATCGTCGATTTGCTCGAGCGGGCCCAGTAACGTCTCCATTGGAGACTTTGTTGTTACTGTGTCTGGCATATCGAATACTCTCGGTAGCTTGCCAGGCTCTCCGAGAGGGGCGGAGGAATCGAACTCGGGTCGGCCATGTTGGCCGCTTGTAAGGCGAACGCCCTACCCGCTGTGCTATCGCTCCAGCCAGTGAGTTTGTAAGAAACACATTGTAAATTGTCATTGCCAGAAAATAATATTTTGTAACAACCGCCCCCCCCCCCCCAAATAATCAGGAGGAACAAGAGGTGCAAAGGTCAATGCCTGCCCAAGACCAAATTCTTCCAGGAAACATCGCTAGGACGTCCTTTGTACTTGAGGTAAAATGTCACGAGGTGGGGGACTTGTCACCTTTTAGAAGAGCAAATAGGAGGTCCAGGATACTGGGGCATGTGCCCAACCCGGGATGGAGCCTTAATTTTAAGATAGAAGGGACATTAATGTAAGTTTCTGTGGAGAAAATCAACCGGGTTTCAAAGGGTGAACAAAGATGAGTGTAATTTCAAACCCCAAAAATTGTATGGGGAGAATAATCTGAATTTTTTTCTGGGGAAATCTTAAACCTGTGAAGGCCAGAATGGAGGACAGAGAAGAACAGGCCTCTTGTACACATGTCAAATCGTAGGGGACCCATAAAAGCAAAAAAATCCATAGAATGATAGATGTGAAAATCGTCTCCCAAAGCATCCATAACGGCAAAGCTCTCTGCTTCCTAACAAATGGTCGGGCTGTGGGCCATGCCTTGTGGCGGAACTGCCCATCAAAGCTCTGGGAATGATTCAGCAAGGGGAAAGTGAAAGCAAATCACTGACCAGCTTGTGGATGCAGAGAAATGAAAGGAAAAAAAGCAATCCTGAATATCAGTGGCAATCAGGGGTGTCCCCTGAGGTATGGCAGAGGCCAGTGGGAGGCCCCCAAATCTTTGGCTTCCCCCATAAAGTTCCAACCCAAAGGCACTGCCTAGGGCCTGATTTCAGAGGTCTGACTTCAGAGGCCTGGTAGTACTCATTTTTGTAATGGCTTTCCATTGCAGAAAGAGGGAAACTGAGGACCCAGTAAGATTCCTCCTCCAACCCTGTGGAGTCGAGGGTCAGAGTAGGATCCCTAGCAAACAGTTTTGGAGAGGGAGAATGGGAGGTTTCTGGGGAGAGAGGCGCCTAGGTTCTGATATAGCCTTTCTGCACAGGGCCACCGGAGTCCTATTCCTCGGCCCTGGGATAGTATAGCCATTCTACCCCACAGTCACCAACCCATGAGGGGCCAGCAGTAGCAGTGTACAGTGGCCCAAACAGCTGTGGACAGGTAGAGGTGGAGCTGGAGGGTGGCAGGAAAGGAAGGCCCCAGACAGGTCATTTGGGTGTCTTAAGAGAGGAAGAAGACCCACCCATGGTGACCACTTAGAAAGAAATGTCACTGCTAAGAGAAATGAGTCAGAAGGGACAGACATAGAAGGACTGCGCTCATTTGTGGAGTATAAAATAGCTTGAGACTGTCACCAAGGATGGTAGACACAATGACCAGGAAGATTGCTCCATAGTTGGAAGCCTGCCTCATGAGCAGGGAGAGAAGGCAGCTGGAATAGAGAAGGGACCACTACGAAAATATGGTTGGAGGAATCAGTCAGGATGGGAGAAGTGTGCTGAAAGAAAATAAAGGACCAAAAGTGGCGGCCTCTTGGTATCTGTGTTACAAACCATAATGGCCAAAAATAGAGAGAGCATGGAGGAAATTGTCTGCAGGGAGGCAGGGGGAGGGTGGGAAAGGGAAGGTATACTGGGGACATTGGTGGTGTGGAATATGCACTGGTGGAGGAATGGGTGTTTGATCATTGTATGACTAAAACTCAAACATGAAAGCTTTGTAACTATATCTCACGATGATGCAATAGTTGATCACTGTATAATTGAAACCCAAGCACAAAATTTGTAAGTCTACAACTGTACCTCATGGTGTCTCACTAATAAAAATTTAAAAATAAATAAATAAATAAAATTTCAAATATATATATATAAAGGAATGTCACAACTCTTAAGAGGGAGGAAAAGGCAACTCTCAGATGCTCACCCAGCTGGACTCCTGGTGGGGTGTTAGGAGACCTTGGCTTTGGGGTACAGGTATAATGCCCCTGCCTGGTTGACCCCTAACCAAATCTTTCCCGCCACCACAGAACTGCAGATTAGAGCCCAATAAGAGTCTGTAGCTTTCGCCATAGAATTGAGATACTTTAATTAAAAAATGTGAGAAAAGAATTTTAAAAAATGAAATGGCATAACTTAGAGAGTTTCTATAAAGGATTTCTATACTTAGACTTACAACTGTTGACCCAGACATTTATTGATTTATAGAGGAACAACCCAGAACACTTTTGAATAATTTTTTCTTCAACTGAGTACATTTTCTATTTATTTAATATCTTAGTGCTTTATTAGTCTTTACTACTTTGTGATTTTTAGTTGTAGCTGTGAAAACTAAATATATCAGACATTTATCTATTTTTTAAATGGAACATTTATTGGCATATGTATTATGAAATTACTCTAGGGTTTTGCAATCTGAATATATGTTGATAATGATTTTTATGTTACTTTGAAAGGTTTGAATATATGCAATATTTCTTTCTTCCTTTATTTTTTAAATTTGAAACCTTAAGCATATATCTTCATCAAAGGACATACAAGATTTTTTTTAATGGTTGATAAGTTCATATAGTCACTGCCACTGCCCTTCCATTGTTATCAGTTTGCTGGAGCGGGCCCAGTAACATCTCCATTGTGAGACTTGTTGTTACTGTGTTTGGCATATGAATACAGCACCGGGAGCTTGCCAGGCTTTGCTGTGCAGGCGAGATACTCTCAGTAGCTTGCCAGGCTCTCCAGGAGGGGCGGAGGAATCGAACCCGGCTCAGCCAGGCTGGCTGCGTGCAAGGCAAATGCCCTACTGCTGTGCTATTGCTATTGTGGATAAAAAGTGGTGAGAGGAGATTTAACTATTTGAGTTTTGACCTAAACATTTTATAATTAAAAACATTAAAAAATTGTATTACAATGTATGGATTGAAATACATAAATAAATCTTTATATATTATTAATTATATATTAGTAATTATTAATTATATGTAATTTATAGATGTATGTAAATTAAAGAGGAATATCTCCAAAGCTATCCAAACACTTTAGGAAAGCTTCCAGCCTGACCTATTAGTACCTGGTAGACTGTTCTTCCTACAGAGAGAGTCTGAGCAGGATTTTGTACTCCTGCATTTCTTAGTGTCAGGACACACAGTCCAGCAGAGACCTGGGACAATTGAACAGCGACAAAGCGACTCGTCCTATTCTGGAAGCCAGTGTAAGCATGTCTGCATGAAGAGGTTGTCTGCTTCTCTAAATGTAATTTTACAGAAGAGCAAGCACTTTGTTAGAACTACATCATTTGTCAGATAGCCTAAGGCACTGAGTTAGAAAATGCCTAGAACACTCTTCATTTTGCTAGGTTATCCATTAGTTTGTTTTGTTTCTTTATTCTACAGAGGACAAAAAACAAAAGATGGATCCCATAATATCTGGTTTAATATTCTTTTAGATTTACAAATGAAAATCTCTGAGAGAATTCTTTCCAAGTAGTATAATAAATGTTTTTATGGCCTTGCTTGTTATAATACACTGTTATATCTGTATTGGATTTTATTTAGCGGAGTATCACATGATAAATTCCATACATTCTTAAACAATACACAATCTTCATTGATTCAAAAACTACTTAATCTGCAGACCTTGATTCTTTGTTTATTTTGGTGAGCCAAACAGACAGAGTATCAGTTAAATCAGTCCGTGAACACTGTGAATTTTTCTGGAAAGCAGACACTTAGCTTATATTTAACCACCTGAACGTTTTAGAGTCATTTTCTTGGCTGATAGATGGGTGTCAGTTGGGTGAGAGGTATAGACCTACTAGAAATTTAGACAATTAGTCAGGAGTTAGGAGAATGCTAAGATATTAAACCTATATTCAACCAAAATGGTCAAGAACCTCTCCTGTACCATGCCTGCTATTGTTTGCATTAAGTATAATGTTATTCATTTGTGGAATATAAAGTAACAATAAGAGACTGACACCCAAGGACAGTAGACACAAGGGCCAGGAATATTGCCCCATAGTTGGAAGCCTGTCTCATGAGCTGGGAGAGAAGGGATCGCGAAGTCAGTGGTTGGAGGAATTGGTCAGGATGGGAGAGGAGTGCTGAAAGTAGATAAAGGACCAAACGTGATAGCCTCTCAGTACCTGTATTGCAAACCATAATGCCCAAAAGTAGAGACAGTATGGGGAAATTGTCCGCCATGGAGACAGCAGGAGAGTTGGATAGTGTGTGTGTCGGGGGGAGGGATACTGGAAACATTGGTGGTGGAGAATGTGCGCTGGTGGAGGGATGGGTGTTTGATCATTGTATGACTGAAACTCAAACATGAAAGCTTTGTAACTGTATCTCACAGTGATTCAATAAAAATAAAGTATAATGTTAATTTGAAAAATAAACAGGCCTTACTTCCTTGGAGCCATTCTACATTTTTTTTAACAATTTCAAAAATTTACCAAAATATAAGTCTAAATAGATAAACATCTATGACCACAATTCAGAGCACACAGTGAAAGCCCTTTGTCTGGTGTGTATGTCTTTGACTTCAGATCATTAAAAATGTATACAAATGCCCCTGGAAACTGCTTCAGGATGGTCGTAAGCCTTTTTTGATTAAGTATTCCAGGTATGGTTTCTGCAGTGTACTAAGTTAATTTTTTTTTCCTTCAAGGTAACTGAGCTACACAACATCAAAAATATAACCAGACTGCCTCGAGAGACGAAGAAGCATGCGGTGGCAATTATCTTCCATGATGAAACTTCAAAGACATTTGCCTGTGACTCAGGTAAGCAATTATAGGCCCATCTACTGCTTGAGGAAATGGGCCGCTCTGAGGGCCCAGATGGCTTCAGATGCACGTTGAGTAGGATGGCTTATTGTCATGAGAATGGGCCGGGGAGGCTGCGGGAGGGAGAGCATCATGGGCTTCTGCAGATGTCTTGGGTGTGTGTTTATTATCAGTCTGCGTCTGGATATCCTCCCAGTTGTTCTGAAGAAGACTCTTGAGGTTTCTTGATATTTTGAGAACAAAGCAAGCCATTTCTGGCAAGCTAACTCGGGCCAGGATCATGACTTGGATTATGGGTCCGTGGGTGCACAGTGGGTCTTTGGAAGGGCAGTGATAATAACTCTTTCTGGCAAAAAAAAATGGTGGCAGAGCCTTACCCAAGTCCCCCCCACCCCAAACACACACACACACACACACACACACACACACACACACTCTCACACACACACACCTCCACCACCGCCTATGTTTTAGAATAGAACTTTGAACAATTGGTCGCTTTCAAGGATTCTCAGTCCTACAGATAACTACATTTCGGAGTGAGTTTCAGCATCCCGGATCATAAAGCACTCTGACGTGAATGAGATACGGTGCAGTTTCCGGTGTGAACCTGGAGGATTTTTCATTTTGGAGCGCCTGTGCTATGTAACTTAGTAGTTGGCTTATTACAGCATTTAAAGATTTTCTTCAATGAAATGGAGCATTCGTTTTATAATGGATGGAGGCAAAAAGTGCTGATTTTGAAAGATGAGAATGCAAAATAAATAGAGTGAAGTCTTTGGGGGGATTTTTTACTGAGTGTTTTTTAAAAATGATGGAGGCATTTGAGTTTACTGCTAAAATGCATAGATAGAATTAATTCTGGGTTATATTTTGAAATTAATACTACTCTGCTTCCGCATCTCCATCTTGTTTTTGCCAAACTGAATTAGGATTCATTCCACTCCCCCTCTTTCATGCTATGCCTTTATCCCTTCAACTATAATTTACCTCACTTGTCATATGACCTCATTTCATCATATAAAATTGACTTTTTCAGCAAAGCCTAGAAGTCTGTTAACTGGTACTATGAATTCTCATTTTGTAATAGAATCTCTCCCAACTTGCTGGTATCATACATTAACATTCCAAAGTATTTTCACCTTTCTGTTTTTAAACTGCTGAACCCATTTCAATTTTCTCTGACTTCCTTAATAATGTCTTAATAACCAAGAAAAAATTAGTTATCAAAAGAAATAAATTTCACTATCATTTATGTGTTTTCATTTTTCCTCCATTTGCAGTACATCACTGTTGCAACGGTATTCTGCATGTTTTGAGATTCTCGTGAGCCTATTGTGGCCTTGTAGGCAGTAATGCAGTCTGTTGTTTCAGATAAGAGTGATTTTGAATTATGTCTCTACATAATTATTCTGAAACTCAGACTCACAGGTTGTTATCAACAGTCTGAAAATGGAGGTTGGGGGGGAATTTTGTTATTTTGTTTTTCTTTGGCATTAATGATGGTTTCATGGTTTTTGCATGGTTTTGGGGGAACTGAGAGATTCTTCATTAAAATAAAAGGATCTTAATTTCCAAAAGAATAATTTCCTGGCAATGAGACTGAATTTAGATTCAACTGTAAAAATAGGACGCTTTTATCTAAATCTCTATAAAAGAATTATCAACTAATTTAAATTATAAGTTATCAGAAAGTATTGTGTTTTAAAATGACATCTATATGTTAATAAAATACTTTGCTTGAAACTACCAGAAGACGTTTTTAAGAAACAACAACATAATTTTTTAATTGACTTAACTTTGTGCCAATGGATAAACACAAATAATTTGAGTACTTTTTCTTGCAAATTTTATTTTTTAGGAAGAGCTTAAGATGCAGTAGTTTAGATCCTTTGATAAAATGGAAAAATTACATGGAAAAAAGACAACCCATAAAAAAAATCAGGAAAGTGAAAGTCTAAATAGCAGTAGTGGTATAAAGCCAAGATTAAAGGGAACCTTTATATATTTTTTTAATGAAAATGCAGGTACGAGTATGTTCTCCTTGTGACTAATAAGAATAGGAATTATTTCTATTGTTTTCTTCAAGAAAATTGGCAACTTCTATGAAATAAATCTGCATCCTTTTGACTCGGGGAAGCACAATGAAACGCATACCCTACGCATACAATATGCCAGAATGTGAGATTTTCCCTTAAATCCATTATGTGTAATCACAATAAAGCTGGAATCCATTGAATTCTTATCAAAAATGGTTGAACAAATAGTAGAATATCCTTATCACAAAATCACAAACACTTTTGGGGGGGAGGAGAATTCTAGTTCAACCAAATCACAATCACAATCACAAATCATCCTGTTAATCGTCGATTGCCTCGAGCAGGCCCCAGTAATGTCTCCTTCGTCCTAGCCCTGAGATTTTTTTTAAAAGTGCCATATTCAAGGCTCTTTCAGGCTTAGGAGAAAGAGACCCATCATTGTTACTGGTATTTGGCATATTGGGTACGCCAGGGGGAGTTTGCCAGACTCTGCCGTGTGGGCAGGTTACATTCGGTAGCCAGCCAGGTTGTCCAAAGTAAGAATGAGATAATAAGATGTCATAATAGGAGTTCAACCAAATACTTTAAGACATTTCTGTGAAGTTTACTTTTTTAAGAAAAACAACCAGAAGATATATATATATATATATATACACATATATATTTAGGGATATATCCTTTACCCAGGTATCACTTGGGTGAAAACAAGATGAAGTGTAAAAGGAAAGGGAAAGAAAAGTAACAGTGAGCATAGAAGAATATCCAGGAAAAGAGCCAAACTCTTGGTAAACAAACAAACCCACACCCAAATTGTGCATGTGTGAATGTGCACAGGATCGGTAATAATTTTTCAAAAGTTATTCGTTGAGAAAATTCAAATCAAAACTGTAATAAGATATCACTGTGCACCCTCAAAATGGCTAGCAAGTTTTATTTTAAATAATGGTAATACCCCAGAGTGGCTGGTGAAAATAAATGTTAAATGATAAAGCAGCCTAAAAAATTGCTGCCTGATTCTTACGAAAGTAAACTTGTAGTTATCACTATACCCAGTAGCGGTACTCTTGACATTTACTCAGAAAAATGAGTATCTTGGTTGTGATGCAAAAAACTACCACCGGGGAGAAGAGAGGTAAAGGAGACGCGGGCTCTCTTTGTAGCGTTTTTGTTTTGTTTTGCTTTTGCCTTTTGGGTCACATCTGGAGATGCACAGGGGTTACTCCTGGCTCTGCACTCAGGAATGACTCCTTGCGGTGCTCAGGGACCATATGGGATGCTCGGGATCGAACCCAGATCAGCCATGTGCAAGGCAAATGCCCTATCCAATGTGCTATTGCTCCAGCCTCTCTGTAGTGTGTTTTTTTTTAATGTGAATCTGTCATGAATTAAATCAGATTGCTATTGAAATAAGTTAGATCTACATTTCCTGTGAGGTTGTTGTGGGAAGAAAGAAAGGAAGGAAGGAAGGAAGGAGGGAGGGAGGGAGGGAGGGAGGGAAGGAAGGAAGGAAGGAAGGAAGGAAGGAAGGAAGGAAGGAAGGAAGGAAGGAAGGAAGGGAGGGAGAGAGGAAGGAAGGAAGAAAGAAGAAAGAGAGAAAGAGAAAAGAAGAAAGAAGGAAAGAAATGAAAGAAGGAAAGGAAAGAAAAGAAAGAGAGAGAGAAAGAAAGAAAGAAAGAAAGAAAGAAAGAAAGAAAGAAAGAAAGAAAGAAAGAGAGAAAGAGAGAAAGAAAGTTAATAGAGAGTTACATAAAGAAATATCAACATTGTGACCACCAACAAAAGAAACTGGTTGTCGATAGAGTAACTCGGCTCGGACAGACACATAGAAGTGGAATGCCGGTGGTTCATGTCTCCCTCACAGCCTGCTCCCTGGGGCCTCACCCTCCCCAACTCTCCCTGGCGTCTTCTCCTCTTGTCCTTCTCTCTCAGGTAACCCTCACCTCTCCGCATCCCACACACCCTCTAGAGTGCCCTGTCTCCCTCAGCTTCCTCTCCTGCCTCAACTCCCCTGTTCCAAATCTCTCAACTCTCTCCAGTGTCCAACTCAGTGAAGACAGACCGCATTGTCTTTCTAACTCCAGAAATTCCAGCCCCAGTGTTAACGAAACTGTGTTGGGCTCACTAATGGATGAGTAAAATTTGTATTTTAGTTTCAACATAATCATTCATTTCTCGTACTCCTCTTTTGAAGAGATTATAGTTTGGGGAAATGAATTGGCAGCCCTCTGAGAGACCGTAAATTGCCAAATAATAGTATACTTGTTGGGGAGGGAGTGGTGAATGACCTGTGTGTGTGTCATGTATGTATGTGTGTGTGTGTGTCTGTTCGTGTGTGTGTGTGCTTCTGTGCATGTCCTTGTACAAATCGCCATGACCACCGGCTCTAAGGCAGCAATTCCATGAGCCAAGCATTGTTGAATGCAAATGAGAATTTCTGTATCTTGTTATTCTTTGAAAGGAGACCTCTTGTTCCTCTTTCTAAATGTGCTCAATTTCAAACCAGTGCAAACTAAATGAAGAAATAGATGGGTTAGAAGTTGCAAGCTCAGAGTTTGGGTACAAAATTTTGATTACCTTCTTTAAGAAAAGGATAAAGTGGTAAAATACTCTTACTGTGTCTCTTTGTCCATGTATGAACTGTGAAGACTTCTCCAAACACTTTGTATCAAGAAGTAGTTAAAATTTGACAACCGAACTAATTTCTAAATAAACATATGATTGCAGAAACACAATCCCAATAAATCCATTTTTAAAACTATTTTATGGAAGTCTTTCTTTGTTCCTGGAATATCCACTTCTCACATTTCAGTTTGTTCACATTGTATTTCCAGACTTCTAAATCTGCATTTCTTAGTGAACATAGAATAATAGCTTCCCCCTATAGTTGTTTGTGCTAGTCATTAAGTTGTATTTTAATTTTATTGAAATAGACTACAATATTATTGCTGCTTGTTCTAC